AATAGCTTGAAAATATTGTTTTCAAAAATCTCCACTAAGAACTCACATGATTTGGTCTATTGATGACCAATCATATTTCAATGATCCCGAATTCTCTCCCTTGAAAAGTGAAAGCCGCAGCGCCCCAACTCTGCTTATAGTTCAGTTAATGCAAAAATATCCAACCGTCTTATATTTTTGGACATGCATTAGTATCTACTTACGAGGAAGCGTTTTCAACTGATAAATCGCTTTGTGTTCGAACTCTGTGAATAAGGTAGACCCTTGTAGGGTATGGAAAGCCTCAAAAAGTTAAGTGCCCTTAGGTCTTCTCTCGTGAATTATTGGCAATATCGTGGAATTTTTTGCCTATGACATTATATATATATATCAAGAAATAGAGTGACGGTATGTCGGCCTGAAATTTTGCGCACAGACGAGTCTATTTGTGAGTAGAATGCCCTGAAAATTTCAGCTCAAATGAATGTTTCTTGCCGGAGATAGTATAGTCCCAAAGAACCGTGAATTCTAACATCTTTCATAGGATATGATTGGTTTTTGAGACTTTAATGTCTCGAGAAAGAAACGTTCTTTTGAGCTGAAATTTTTAGAGCATTCTACTGATAAATAGGCCTGTGTTGTGGGCAAAATTTCAGGCGGAAATACTGTCATTTGATTTCTGGGTATATACAATGTCATAGGCTGAAATTCCAAGAAAATGCCTATAATTGTGGAGAGGAGGCCTAAGGGGCAGTTATCTTTGGGAGGTTTTCCATACCTCACTTGGGTCTACCTTGTGCACAGAGTCCGAACTCAAAGCGATTTATCAGTTAAAAACATTCTCTCGTTCGTCTAGAAAAGTCTCATGGTTGATTAATTATGCAATTCTTTAAAACAATTGAGCAAATAAAGAAATATAATTTTTCCTAGTGAAACTTAGAATTTATTTTCATACAGAACATTAATTATTTTTGAATTAATATAAAATGTACATAAACATTTATCAAAAACATAAATATAAATTCAATTTGTGTACGGAACGAACGTTCTACTGTACCGAATGCAGAATAGGTCGTTTTATTAATGGTGATTGATACTAGCATAAGCAGGGTAGGGCATGATCGGGCGACGCCCAACCATCGGTCATTTAAAAAAAAAGCAATTTTGTTTAAAACGATAAAAGTAAAAAACCACAAGATATTTGCACCCCCTACTTTTTTTCTTCAGCTTAGACTAAACCGGATTGGGCACAATGCCAATCGTAACTAGTCTCCCAAAATAGAGAGACGTATGTTTCCTTACGTATGGATTTTACAAGTGACATACAGCAATACCTTCGTGAATCTCGTAAAAGCCAGAGTTCTTATTAAATGCAACACGATGATCAAGAGCCCAAACGCGATACTATTGAGTCGTTTTCTAGCTCATATTCTTCCAGAGAAACAAAGTTGATACTTTTACTTCGACCATTGATGAATTCTCGCAAAATAACAGAACCAGATAAAACAATCTATTGTTTGATATACGAAGCTGCTGAATCTCTATCGCCATTTTCATCCTCAAGAACAACAGCAGCTACAAGAAGCTCTTTCATTCCTTTAGACAATTTCTGCTTCTCCCAAGAACCACTACTCTCACCTAGAGGAGACCTTCCTAACATTTCCGACACTTCTGGAGACCGGTGCATCAGAAAATTTTGAAATTTTCAAGGCAGACAGAACTCAATAAGTGGAGCAATAGTTGTCGTAGCCCCAAAATTCTTAGATTTTTTCTTGTATGACATATTAAGGTCGCAAGGGCTAAAGATTGTCCTGCTTATCGGCTTGCCTTCTCACCCGTAATATGTCCGATTGAGCTGAAACCTTTTTTACAGATACTACAAACATTTTGGAGTTCCTATTTTTTTTTTTGATTTGCCTTCATCTCTTTCTATTCGAATGAAAAGGTCAAAAGACGAAGAGCCCACTATAAAGTACATGGCTTTTAACAGACATTATTTTATAAGATCTGCTAAACATCAGTAATGCAATATTTTTTTAAATAAAAATTTAGCACCCTCCCCCCCGCGCTCCCCAAAAAATTATTCCTAGTATTTGTGAAAAACGTTTCAGCTTGACTAGATGTACTATATCTGAGCAGCAAGGGCGATTGTGCAAGCTTTTGTGTCAAAACTAGGTTCTGAGAAAGCTCAGCAGAACGAAAAAGATTTAGCTGTTTTCACACGAAAAACGTTCTATCTTTTCGACTTTTTTTAACTTAAAAGCTAAATTTGAATTATCAATATGCTTTTAATAGATAGAGAACACTTAGAAGTACATATAGAGCAGAAAAAAGTTAAAAACTAAAAAAAAATGAAAATTTGGAGCCTGGAAAAGGGAAGAATCCTCGTAACTAATCTTTAAAAAATTGTTTTGGCGGCGCCCAACCATCTGTCATTTTCTGGATACGCCACTAGTAATTGATATTGTCGATAACCAGATGACTTAACATTTTTTTAAAGAGTTCTTGATGTTGTTATGGATTGACTTCGTGATGGTGTATTAACATTTTTCTTAGCAATTATTGAAATATTACGTTGAACTATAGTTGATTGAACTTGTTTCTTATTAGGTAATGGTGTTAATACATCACCATTAGCTGATTTATAGTTCTTATCTAATGAACAATTATGAATATATGTAGATGATCGTTTTGTAATTCGCTATTCTGATAAAACTTAAAATTGAATATATTTGTTTATCAAAATGATAAAATGATTTTGTCTTACAATGGATTCGAGACTTCGAAGTACATTTTTTCATTCAATCCTTTTTTGTAGAATTGCTTTGATCTGAACTAAATGTTTTTAATAATTTTTGTATATTCGGACAAAAAAAAACATTTCTAATCAACTAACTTTCTTGAGATTAATGATCAATTGTTTTAACATAAACTCGACCTCGATTATTGTCATTTATGTCAATTGCATCATCAGTTGAAAAACCAGATTCAACTATATAAAATTCCTTTTGTCATATACAAAGAAACAAAGTAGAAAAAGCAAAAATTAATTTTTTTGCGTATTTACTTAGGGGTAACCAAAAGTTCTGTCATCGTTAAATAAAAATATAAAGATAATGAGATATTTTCAATTTTATTTCATCAGATGTTCACAATAGTTATTATGATTATTTATAGCAAGTTCAATTCTTTCTAATAATTTATTAAAAGTTATTTTGAGCTCTTTTTCGAAAAAAAATCTAGCTACCTTGGAAACCGCATGAGCACAGCATACTTCATTTGTTTTAAAATTTAACGAAATTTTGTTGGATCATGTCAATTGTGTTCTAGCACTAACTAGTGATGATATATGGATTTATTTTAGATAGGTTAGTGATAAATCATCTGATGCTAGCTGGCATATTGAAGATGATTCGTCAAAGACTATTGTTCATGGAGACAGATTTCAAGCAAACCTTTGTTTCGTATATTCATTAAATTAAATAGTCCTGAGTGTAGATAAAGGCAGCACCGTAAGTCACAAGTATTATATTGAAAATTATCTGAAGCCTTTTGTTAATATAATATAGAAACAAACAGAGACGTCAGGTGCAAAAAGATACAAAATTGCTTGACGGTCATCGCTAACTATACACTCATCCGATATTATTTACTATTTGACAGAAGAAGGCATTAATATAATGTCGTATCCACCATATTCGTCATATCTAATACTGCATAATCTTTGGTTAAATAATTCTATTGACTATAGTCGAATTGATTAAATAAATGAAATATGATGTGCTCATGCGGTTTCCCAGGTAGCTAATTTTATTTTCGAAAAAGAGCTCAAAATAACTTTTAACAAATTATTAGAAAGGATTGAACTTGCTATAAATAATCATAATAACTATTGTGAACATTTGATGAAATAAAATTGAAAATATCTCCTTATCTTTATATTTTTATTTAACGATGACAGAACTTTTGGTTACCCCTAAGCACTTTGCATGGTAATGATGCTGATAATTCTTCATCACGTATTCTGAATAAAAGAAAAAACCATTTTCTTATTTGTTTACGGAATAAATAACTTCAAGTAGGGTGTGAGTGTTGGTATGAGTGGATGTGAGGCGTAGGTCTTATATATACGATGTAACGGTCACCCACACCCACCTACAGCCACATCCCACACTCATACCCACATCCACACCCTTTTAGAATATTTTTCATCATCATGATATTGAAACAATGAAAGTAGTCCATAAGTACATTGACTATCAGCAACGGCATAAAGGTTGTTATTCGGATCAGGATTATCAATGTGTTCAATAGAACAAATTTATTCAAAAACAAGAACGAAAGT